TATTTTGGTCTAAATAACCCAAAATGTGATGTCCACATATGTGGACGCAGGTCCTAGGAGGTTAAGTTGTTATTTTTTTATAGTGTGTCAGTTGAGAAAACAAGTGTCCGCTGTAAATATAAGCTAGTTAGCTTTGTTTAGCTTAGCTTGGCTTGTTTTAAAGACTGGAAATGTCCTTAAGTTAATCCAGCTAAAGAAGTTTACAGCACATTAAAACACACAGCCTACCTCAACATGTTTATACTTAATGTACAAATGAAACAATCAGAATGTCAGTTTTGGCAGATTTGAACTACCGTAGCTTACCATAGCTTTATGCTAGGCTATGGTAAGCTAACTATTCCTCTTTAATTAATGAATATCAAGTAGCATCAAAAACTCCAACTTTTCTTAAATTGGTACGACACCAATAAATGGACTTTATAAATACGCCGTTCCTGGGACTGCGCTCTCCTGCAGATCTTGGATGTTGTTTTGGGATCAGCCGCTCGCCTGCTTTGGGGCCGCTGCACCGAGGCCTCCACGCAGACCACTGCTGCCTTCACCCGATGTTGCTATCAGTTGGTGTTGCTACGTCTGTCACTAGAGCTGTTTGTCTGTATCTGGAAGTCCAACGGGATCTTAACTTCTTTATTTAAAAATGTTTTAAAACCCATGTTTGATTGTTGAGTTTCTATACTACTTTGGTTTGCCTGATCTTAGATGGCTTTGTGCTTTTACCTGAGCTATCTGGGCCAAACTGGGGCTTCTAAAAGCACTTTACATGAAAGCTAAAGAGCCTGGAAAGAAACTTCTTCAGTGTTCTTCAGAAACCATTTCTCCTAACTTCACTCTACATGTTACACAAGGAGAGAAGATGTTATCACATGGCTTGCATTTAAGAAGTATGTTGATTCATTACCAGAAGCTGTGTCAGCATTTCCTTGACCTACATTGTTTAGACTGAGTTTGTGCGTAGGTGTCGTTACTAGCTTTTCTATGTTTCAGAAAAAACAGAAAGTTGATGCAGTTCAGCTTAATTTGTTTGTTCCTGTTTGTTTGTGATAAAGTTACAACTTGATGTGAGTCGAGATAATCAGAGCTCTGCGGTTGTGATAGACACACACACACACAATAATTGTCACTATTTCACATTGCTTTTTGATAACTGCAACTGTATTTGAACACCCGCATCACCTTGAACTTGACTTTCACATCAATCGCTGCTTATTTTGTTTGCTGAACATTTCCCCCGATGAAACTGTGAAGCAGATTATAATTTTCCCAACAACTTCAAGAAGACGGACGGGTGCAGGACAGCTTTCACACCTTTGACACCTTCTGAAAGTGTCAACATTGAACATCCATGCAGGAGGATTATACTTGTTGTAGCAGGTCAAAATGGGGTCAAATGAAAAAAAAACCTTAAGAGTTTTGAAGATTTCATAGTAAATATGCTACATGATGTAATCACACATAACACGCACAGTTAGTGCACGGAAACAAAACTCTTTTCGAATATCAGCGCGCGTTTCTGCAGAATCGGTGACAGTCAGAGCGGAAATGCATCTCACATGCTGCCAGCACACCAACTGAGCGTGCCGGCGTATAAACGCTGCTCGACTGCAGACGTTACAGGATACGACAGGAGGGCTTCACAGTGACGCCGGGCTTTGAGGCAACAGTCATGCTGCTGGTGAGTCGAGCTGCTTTATCCTTAACTTTTATCGGGGATTATTCAATTAGAGCCACTTTTATACAATGTGATGTAAAAAAGTAGCACATTTGATTTCTGAACACTTATTTCATAACGTTGTCCCAAAATCAAGACGCAGACATTTGTCCTAATGCATGGCAGTGATTAACAACAAAATGCATTTTGGATTCATTCACTGATCATCCAGTAAGAACTGGCAGCAGTCGTGAAGTTATATTTCCTTTCCTCACATGTGTTCTAGCTGATGCAGCACTTTGACACGCTGTGGCCTGCACGCTCTTGTCTTGCTTAGGTGTTGAGAACTCTGCTGGTCCTGAGCTTGGCTCCCCTGCTGCACGGTGCCAGGAAAAGCCAGTCGGCCTCAGCAAAGCTGGGGCCCAGAGCTGGACTGAAGGGCAACAGTGTGAGGTTGGTCATAGATCCTTCAGTGCTGCCGCACTTCACCGCAAAATCTCCCTCAAGCATCGCCAACATGTCTCTGTCACCGTGGACGTACATGTAAGACCCTGCTGTTATTCACCTATGTTTCACTGGGTCGTGTTAATCTTTAGGTTACAGTGTTTTTCTCTGACCCGTCCGTCCGCAGTGACTCGTCCGTGGACTCTCGTTTGCCCAAGCGTATCTCAAACGCCCAGTGCCTCACCACCGGCTGTCTGAGTCCACAGGGAGGAGGGGAGGATAGAGCCCTGGAGGCTAAACCCATCAAGTACGAAGTTCTGGTCCTCCACAGGTGAGCTGCTGTGGTTTTGTTTTCATCAGAACAGCTAGAATTGCTCTTGTGTTCAGTTTCAGCTCATTTGCAGAGACAGCGCTGATAACAGAAAGAATCCAGATTGAAGCTCGTTGAGCACAAAGAGCCAAAGAACAGCAACAGAAATGCT